TAACGGTTCAACGAAGTGTGGTTAGGAAAAAAAAATGAATATAATAATTACAATGACAGCAAATATGTGGTTGAAGCAGTGCTGCAGCAAGAATATAATTTTACTCACAATTATACCTCACACTGGTGGATTTTGGATCTCCTTCATTTCAAATGTCAGAAGATCAGTGCGATAACTTTCACTGATGAGTTTCTAGGTTGATATTGATGCCAAAAGCTTACAAAACTTCGAAATGATAACTAGAATAAAATGCAGTCGATGAAGACATTCACTGTTCAGGCTCCGACAGAAAAAAACACCCAGACAATGGTCACAATGTTGAGACGAGTTCGTGGAAGCAAGACACCCGTAGGCACGTTCCGATTTTTAAACAGAAAGCTACTCTTTGTTCTTAATCCAATTTGTCAGACGTACAAATCGAAGGCTAATTAAAAAATTCGCATAGAATACACTTTTTGAAAAAGAAACGGTTCACATAGAGCAAAGGAAAGAGAATTTTTGCTGGAAATGTCGTGGGAATACAAAATACTATAGAGTAAACTAATTTTTATTATACGGCGGAATTCTGGTGAATGATGTGAATTCTCCAAAGTGCAGCTTAGTCATGTTGTTGACTTTTTAGTCGTTCACTGTTCTGCCGGAGTTGGGCGAAGTGGTACGTTGGTCGCTTTAGAGATGTGTTTGATGACAATTGCCAATGCTCATCCAATTGATATTTACGCGGTGAGGTCTTGAGATTCAGCATTTTATTTTGTGCCAAATTTTGTCAAACTCTGGTAGAAAGGCACTATGAAATATATGATTCGTAAACCAGTGTCAAAATATTCGAGTAGCAGTGCTCACTAGATATCACTGAGAAGTGCGGCGTGAAGATGGAAATCTCGGAAAAATATGTGGCACATAACTTTATCGATACAACCATTATACCGCGAGCTCGCCATTAGTTCGGAATCACCCCGCATCACATGTACATCTGATTACAGAAAAGAATCAGTAAATCCCGTTTTCTATGAACGTTTGTTCATATTTTACATGCCTTCATACATGTACATAATTTGCTAATACGTGAAATCCAATTTGTCTTGTCTGTGTAGAGATTAACATGCCAGAATTCGTGATAAGTGGTAAAATTCTCCAGCAAAACTGCCTGATTATGCCGATTCCTCAATGATCCTTCAAATCTCAAAAAAGTTTAGCTTAGTTACGTGTACCAGTAAAATTTCATCAACACTCTTACGACGACATGACCTTTACGAGGGTCACATTTTTCCGGTGGTTTTATTTTGATGTACACAAGGCCTCTTTGAAATTTTAGTAATCAATCGGTAACCTAACGCATAGAGATTCTATGAAACTGGTCAATTGTAGAAAGATGGCAAAATAAAACGTTGTATAATCATTTGCATGAGTCAAAATCACCGAGTCAATTACAAGCACTTCATGAGAAAACTTTGTACACCAAAACTGACTCTTACGGTGAATGATGCGTAGTTTTCACAAACGTTACTACGTCGTGAGAGTGTTCAACATGACGCGCGAGATGCACTGTGTGAAGTACGTACGTCGAAGGGAAGTGGACGAAATGCGTTGCAGCCAATGCATTAGCTTTCCAGTGGTTTGTTTCATTGCACAAGGACCAACAAGGCTTCCTTCTTTCATCCTCATCTTGCTTCTAGCTGCTCTAATGCTTCACTTATTGGAGGGACACGAATCGTAGCATAGTTATGTTAGTTTGATTCTTGGAGAGAAAGAAACTAAGAGCAGCACACTAGTCTTTGTCGTCCCATAGTTTTCTCCTAACTGAAGTACCGATTGGAATGATCGATCTTGCGTTAGATGATCAATATACTAGGGAAGGGGGATAGCGCAGCGGCTAGCATTGTAGACCATTCGGAAGAAGGCGCTGATTCGCCCCTCCACTGATGTCTTGCTGTGATTACGAGAGAACACTTCGGATCGGTTATTCTCAAAATTATAGAGAGATTCGAGTACACCAACAATCAACGACATTCATGAACAAAACGGGCTCTTTTTTGATGATCCGGTAACAAATAGAGAAACGAGCCCTGTCGCTAGACAGGAACTTCTCGTAAGAGTTTAGTGGCCATTCGAAAGCTTAAATCTCTGACTAGTGCGCTAATGACCGATTTCCGATGAGATCCTTTTACATTCTGTAACATTCAAAATAAAAAAAACGTTTTTCACCGATTGCACGCTTTTACTATTACTTCGCTGGTGGCACAAAAAGCATATGAACGTGCAGAGAGAATCCTGCTGTATCAGATTCATACATTTTATCTGGATTTTCTTCCAAAGCAAATCAGGTATTCTCAAATGAAAAAAAAATTGCGCTCCACATGTGAGTGCTTTCAGTGCGATTGATCAATCGATCGCGGAACAACGTATTTAATCCACAGCCACCGGACACGCTTCCCACACATTATTCGAAAACAAATGCCCGCTTATATGAAACTCAACTTATTTCCTCTGCTACACAGCAGTGAAACAGCTTTTCCAAAAAATAAGCACAACGTTGGAATCGTGAAAACTTACGCTATCTAATGGTTGCTTGTAATCTGAGCAAAGAGATCTGTCTTACGAGAGATATGCGTGTTTGAAACACATATATTTTCTTCCTGCCACAGCGCCACAAAAGGATCTCTTTAAAGAAGCACGTTGCGCACTAGCCAGAGATTTGAGCCTTCGAACAAATACTTATACTCTTATAAAAAGTTCCTGTCCACCGAAAAGTGTCGTCCTTTTTCATTTGTCCCCGGATAACATTGAACCGAAACGAAATCCTTAAGTAGTAGTCAAAGTTGAATTCTTTAGGACGATGAACACAAGGAAACGAATCAAATGTATGCAGTGTTGAGATATGTAGAGTAGATGTGATAACGGGTCATGTAAATTAGCAACTGATGGCTAACATCAGTTATACATGTGATTTTTACTTTAGCGCTCTTATAGCAGTGTTATGACATTATAACTAAATGTCCAAGGATGCTTAGATAACGAGGCGCGTGCTACCACTACATCATCGAAGGTATTGCTTTGCTATCACTCTTTTTGCAATATAAGCTAAGCTATCAAAACGTGAGAGTGATGGCAGACAAACGACTTCAGTGGTATAGTGTTAACTCGCGCACCCGGTAAGCTTCAAACGCTGGTTCAAATCCCGCTTGTTCAAAGGTCTGTATATCACTCAGCATGTTAACTAACCGTCTTTGTCTCAATCAAACGGCAAATCGTTCAATAAGATGTTTGATTTTCCCGTAAAAACCGTGCCAAGCTTTTCTACATTACATTTTCGCATGATTCTATTGAGAATCAATATGTTTATATTTACAAGTCATTAGAGTGGTGCGAGAAGTTTTGAAAGGAGGGTTTTTTAAAGATTGTCAGTAGCCTTCGTCATTGTCGTGCATTGGCTGTGCAAACATTCGAGCAGTACGTTTCGCTTTTCAAACTGGTGCTTCAATTCGGTCAACAAAATGGATGCATTAATCATGTAGGTGTTCAGAGGTTCGTTGAAGTACCATCGTTTACGTATTGTCCAATCACTCACTTCAGGAAGACGTCGAGGGCTTCTACCGTCATGTGCAAGCTGCGCGACTATAACAACTTCTGCACTAACGAACTGATCATGCATGTTAAATATTTTATTGATAGAATCTTTGTGAGTGATGATAAGATTTCCGTGTTCCTCGAGGGCCGAAGAAAAAACTACTTATTCAACACTAGCATTAATACATTTTCTATAGTCACTATACTGTGTGGAGCATGTAACTAATCAAAGCTATGAACTTCAGCAATTTGTGGACCATATCGAGATCAAAATTTGAATTGCCGAATAAATTATTAAATGTATTCAGGAGGTATCTATGGATAACAAAGCATTAACAACAAACAATGCAAACAATAACCACGCTTCAACACTCTTTACACAGAAGAGCGGCTAAATATCGTAATTCCAATGAGCCATTTTTTATAACTGAGACATTAAATACACAGGTAATCAATATGAGAAACATCCAGGTAGATGTCATTGCACTATTTGCTGTTTCTGAAATTGACAAAGGATCAAGAATGGTTAAAGAATTTGGGCATAACATGCAATGATCACTGATTCCAACCGCCAAAAGCTAGCCAAGCTTATCAATCCTTTAGAGTTACGAATTAGTACTCGATTGGTCGTGGAAAAGTTTGCACCAGTTTGCGAACGTTGGCGCCTGTTTGTGGATTATCCGTTAAAAACAACGTTAATTCTCACGTAACGAGCTACTATGGCAATGTGGTAGTTTTCTTAATGAATTCAGATCGTCACTAAACGCGGTTTCATTGTCAATCAACGATAGATTATGACAAAAGAAACTTTAAAGCTGTGGGTAGTACAAACAACACCAATGCTTCCTCCAAAACCCCGCATTCCTGGAGGGAAAACCACATGCGAAATGGTCAAATTTCGATCTGTGACTAAACATTTTAGTCACAAATTATCAGCACGTTGAAAATTTCACAGTGGCAAAATAAATCTATTTCATGTGATAGCATCTCTGAGCGTTGAACGCATGTTACCTGACTAGCTACAAAAAATTATAGAAGATGCAAACGAAATAAACAAACCATAGGTCGGACATACAAGACGTGCCGTCTTCTGATTTGTCTTAGATCGCAAGTTTATGCAAACACATGAGCGATATATCCACTTTTCTTGCCAGTTACAAGCGCTATCCTCCGATAGCGTACGGAACTCTTGAGAGATACTTGAGAGAACTGAGTGGGTGAGGAAAAACACGTCTCAGGCGGAAATTGAACCCTCGTTTTATCCATATCGGAGACGCGTGCTACTACTAGACACCACCACGGCACATTTGCGCCACCACTCACTCACACACCACTCACTAACAATCGAAATCGAATACCCGACCAAACCTGTTAAAGACTGGTGGCTGATAGCTAACATAGAGATACTGAGGAATGAGTGGTGGCGCAAATGTGCCTCGGTGGTGTACTAGTAGATGTAGCAGTACTAGCACGCTCCCCCGGAGAGGATGAAACGCGGGTTCGATTCCCGTCCGAGACCGTGTTTTCGCTCACCACTCAATTCTCTGAGTTATATAAGTAACATCATAACACTGCGAAATAAACAGTAGAAATACTATAATTTCGAAGTATTACCAAGAGGAAAAAATTATGGATTCTGGATTCATTAATTATAGGTAATGCAATTTCTCAGCATTACTTCACTGTGTCCGGTTTGATTTATGCGCAGTTAAGATTCCAGAAGAAAATTCTGCTGAAGCAAAATCATGGATCCAGTGGATTAATGCTACAATAATCAATTATCAGGTCGTTCCGGTCCTGAAGCAACAATCAAGCTCTTTGACTAACATACAGCATATCATTGAGGGATTCTCTTCGACCATCTGAAGGACACCTTGACGACAAACTTGCTGAGGGCGACTTGATCTATCTAGCTTTGACCTTCACCAAACACTTCCTGGATCGTCTTTTCTACAACCGTATCATCGCCCCAAGCTCCATCAACCTTTCGGGACCGTGGACCCACAGCCTCTACATCTCCAACTGGCAACTCTGGACGATCCTTTCCACCACCTCTGCTTCTCTAACCTCAGCGTGCTATTGTTAAACGCAGCACGCTTAGGGTTAGGAATGCAGAGGAGATGGAGCACACCGTCCAGAGCTGCCAGTTAGAGCTACTGAAGAGGTAGAGCAGTCGTCCAAAGTTGCCAGTTAGAGATGCAGAGGCCGTGGGTCTACGGTCCCGAAGGGATTAATCTTGTGCGCCGCTTTACTAGCCTTCACCTTACGCACGTATAAAGAGGAAGAGATATTTGTTGCTCCATGTGCGCGCGACGAGCGTCACAACCACTCGGCCATGGCGCGTCGTTCCCTCCACCGGTCCAAAATACTTAAGAATAGTAGAGTAATCGGATTAGCTTCTCACTGAGAATCGCTCAACCCCTGAGTTAACGCGCTCCAAAACAACACTGCGCTCCAAGGCCTTCGCATAACTCATGCAGACGTTTCGCGAACTGGTCGCGGGATCATCTGGTTTCGTTCTTCGAGCGGATCATTATTTCCTAATTATTGATTTTTTTTTTCGGATTCTTATAGGTTTTGAACTTTTGTTGTTTTCAAAGTCTCTTCTGAGAGCCGGTGGCTGAGTGGCTAATGATTCTCGACGCGGCGGTTCAACGCAGGATCGATCCCCACCTCTCCAGCACTCTCCAGCAATCAATAACAATCACCCTTCGGAGCGCGCAAAACTGGCCATCGTCGAGATTCGCAAGGAGATACGCTCAATCAGGATTCTTCGACGTTCATGAAGACAAAAAACGACTTGAATGCTCAAAGTAGTAAGGCTCCTCCTATGAAAAAGGTGTGGTACGGATCAAGTAAAATGAGAGTAATAAACGAAAATGTCTCCTTTCATGAGAAAGAGACCCTTCCAGAGTTTCCAAACGGGTATCGAGCCCCTTTTCTAAACGTTTAAGGCAATATCCAGTTGCGGAAAGCCGCCAATAATTCTGGGATATCCCAGTAAATCCTGGAATATTCCGGTAACGGCCATTAGTCGTATCTATAATGAAATTGTTCTAAAACACTTAGAAATTCGCTTTGCTTCCTCATTGGTTGCAGATTTTAGCTTAAATTCATGTTAGAGGTTATAGATCGTTTTTAAGTGATGATAGGCTTCTTTTTCAAATCGTTTTTCTCAGAAGTTCTCGAAATTGTCACCGATTTCCATCAGCGCGACATTCAGGTCTCGTCTCTCTCAACACATGGAAGACGATATATCTGAATTATTGCGGAAGAAAGAGGAGATTCTAAGGCTACTGCGGGAGGAAGGAGAAGATGGTGATGACGAGGATCAACCGGTCAGTGCCTTCATTGTCTATTCGCCTGTGCCATTCATGTAAGTATAGGGTTTAGAGTTGTCCTTTAGGACTATCCTTCATTTAGGGCTTCAGAAAGTTCTCATAGAGCGTTGGACGAGCGCAAGCAAAGTCACGTTTCTTACTCGTTGTTTTCTTCGCGCATAAAAGTTATCTATGCGCAAAAAGTATATGTTCGTGTAGAGGAAATCATGTAGTATTGAAATAACCCAAGACACCTAAAATTTTTATCGAAAGGAGGGAAAAATTTCTAACTAAATTGTGACAATTGCGCGCCGCGTGCGAAATTCGACCAGCGGCCGTCCGGAAGGGTTTAAGAGTTTTGCGCGAGTTTCGGTCTATCTTCTTCGGAATCGATCGCTGTGGTCTGGCGACTCCGCTGTCCTTAGAGTCGTTTTGTCAGATGTGTGACCATGTAGAGGTGACAAAACGGCTCTGAAGATGGCGAATTTGCCCAGACCTCAGACATCGATCTGGAAGAAGATGTACCAATATCGCGAAACACTTCTTGGGCTTTTCCGGACGGCCACCGGTCGATTTTCGCATGTGGCGCGCGATTTTCGCTATTCAATGAAGAGTTTTATCTTTTTTTCGGGAAAAATTCCCGGTTTTTTGGGTTATTTCGATACTCCATAAGTTTGTCCACATGCGCATTTACTTTTAGTGCATAGATAACTTCTATATGCAAAGAAAATCCCGGGAGTGAAACGTAATTTTGTGTTCGCTCGAACAGCGCTCTGTGAAAGCCTTCTGAAAAACCAACTTTTCGCTCCCGACTTGCCGAGATTTCTACTTTCAAACAAGTACCAGTAGAGTCTTATGAAAAACCATCCTCCACAGTCCCTAGCCGTGCAAACAAAGCATACTAAGTGTGAAACATAGTTTCATTTTCACTGCTACAGCGTGCAAAAAAAGACTTTCTCAGAAATGAAGCGCAACGTTGTAATTACCGAAATTTAAGCTCTTGAAAAATTACTGAAATTCTAGTAAAGAAGAACTTTGTCCAGTGAAAAAGACCTCGGAAATGTTGAGGGTCAGAAACGACCCTTACCGTCTGGAGAAGGTCAAGTGAAAGAGTAGTTTGTGAGATATTTTAAATTTTTTTATTTTCCCGTGAACGTCTAGTGAAAATCGGTCCTTCTATCTATGGTTTTTCTTAGAATTGGTATGTGACAAGAATGACGACGAAGAAGAGAAGGACATTGGTGAGGAGGAGGAAGTCGAATCTCCATCCACCAAACGACCACGATTGGATGAATCATTGGATAATGAAGCTTCAAGTACGTTATCTTTTGGACTACTTTTTAGGATTATTTCAGGGGAATCCTTAATTTCATAGTTATTTTCTACATTTAGTTGCTGAATGTAATTTGTACATCTGGTGTATGTTCGTAGATGTCTGATCAAATGAATAGTTTGATTTTGTTTTTGAGAGAATTGAGCGGCAAATGAAGCATACATTTGTTTCCGAATCCTGCTTCAGTATTTGATAGTAAGGGTATTGAGATGATTTTTCCATGTATAGGCAGTCAGTTCAGTCTTTTTTAGTATCGAAATATAAACTGTGTTTACTTAATATCTTCGCTAACATCTTAATACCTCCCAAATGTTTGCCGCCTCATCGAGGCTGGGAGTTGTTCCTAAATGCCGGACTGCGAATTACAGCGGGTGGTTCAACCATCTAGTAGGACCACGCTGGCTGAAAAGGAGCTGACGTTGCTACCCGAAAAGCCCAACTAAGAGCAATCGGTACCACAGGTGACCACCGTATTGGTAGCTACTATTCGCAAGGTCGCAATCTCCCTCTGATTCACAGAGCCTGTTGACTGCTCTAATGTGGTGACAATTTGAGGAAGCTCCGACTAGGCTAATCTTGAGATTTTAGGGATCAAAACAGCTAAAGCAGCTTAGTTTTCCTGTGTTGGGGTTCGCAGTATCAGTGAAGACTGGCCGCCAACATCCTAGTAGATAAGCGATGCGCTGGTTCGATCCCCACCCCAAATGCCCTCATGCATTTATGCAGTCAATCAACTGGGTGCCGAGAATCGCTTTAGCTTGACTATGTCTAACATCCCAAGGCGAATCGTCTCGATCAGAGTTTTCTGCCAATTACAAAGAAAACGAAATCCTCTAGCAGTAATTAAAGGTACACGTAAAATGTTCGAAGACCTTCGTGGAGGTTGAATGTTAGCAAGGGAATTGAATGGAAGGAGTACTGGAGTCTGCAAAGTGAATTGTGGTAAGGGAACATGCGTCAAAGCATTTTAGTACATCGAGGGCCTGCGTCAGTGTTCTGCAATGAATCTCATTTCCAGGATAAATGGGTCATATTCATTCCCTATTTTTACGAAGGTTCCTCTTGAGTTTCGACTTGTAGTTCAATCCGACAGTATTGATGATTTTATCTCTTAGGCTTAGGCAAAGTGGACTTATGTTTCAGTAAGTGTAATGCTTTTTCTTTTTCACAGTGGTTGTTTCAGAAATGATCTCTTTCGGGAGTGCTCAGACTCCATAGGAAAAGATGAAGCTTCTTTTATCAGTTGATCTGCGTTAGATGGGATCACAATTGCTTTACATCAATCATGGTTTTTCCTCTACAGTGAACCCCAACGATTTTTATTTTTATCTCATTTCAAGTGAGCCGTATCAGGTCCTGTTATGGGGGTTGCAATAATTCTAGCATTCGATATGTTTCTTCGCATTCGTCCTCTACAAAGATCTTCGAACATTTCGCATGTTGTTTCGACTGCCGCTTGAGGATTTCGTCTTCTTTGTCAATGTCAGAACTTCGGGCAGATCCTTTCAAAATCTTGAGAATAGCCAGACTAGAGAGATCCTAGGTGATTGTAAGGAGGCGTTGTTGGAGAGGTGTGACGATAATTTTCAACACGTGTTGTGAACACTTTCCTTGTTTTCCTAAATTCATGAAGTCGTAAAAGAGGAAACTCTCACCAATAATCAATCCCTGAGGGATGCGCCGTGCATTCGACTTCACCAAGCATCGTTTGTGGTGGCTAAATACCACTCTGGACTTTACAATGGCTTACAGTGGCCTGGATGGTGGATGTATTTAAGATGGAAAGTTTGGTAAGCTTTGAGCGCAGTATCAAACTACCAGCTTCGTGTGCGTTGCAGGGGATCTATAATTTTGCACCACACGCGC